CTAATAATTCATGATTTGCCTTGTTTGTTTCAGATGCGGCTGAAGATTCGGGCTCGGGGGGAGGGATCGCTGAGGGGGGAGGTTCCCAGGGAAGGGGGGTTCGTAGGGTTGGGAAGTATCGCGGAACTAGGATTCCCAGGGGGGAGAGTCCCGGGGAGAGGGGGTTCCGTAGGGTTGGGTGCGGCATCGCGGGGTAGGGTTTCCTAAGGGGGGTTCCCGGGGAGAGGGGGGGATGTCCGTGGGGTTTAAGTAGGATCGCGGAGTAGGGTTTCCAAGGGGGGAGGGGCCGCGGAGTAGAGTCACGGGGGGAGGAGCAGGATTTTTTTTTCTTTTTTTTTCTCGCGACTGGCTTGCTGAGATCCTCCGGGGCGTTACGTCCCGGGGTCCGNAAAAAAAAAAAAAAAAAAAAAAAAAAAAAAAAAAAAAAAAAAGGGAGGAGGTGGGAAAGGAACCTGGGGGCCGGAGGGGCCGGAAGCCGGGGTTGGGGGAGGCCGTCATCGTAACGGGATCGTCGTACCGGGATCATCGTACCAGGATCATCGTACCAGGATCATCGTACCAGGATCATCGTACCAGGATCGTCGATTTTTTTTTTTTTTTTTTTTTTCTTCTGTTTCAGGTGCAGCTGCCGTCGTTCCCGCAACCGAAGGTTAGCTACCGTTTCATTTCTCCTCATTTCTAAATAAGGGTTATAATCGTTATTCAGTTTTAGTGGGCACTACTTCCGTCTTCCGAGCAGAGCTGATTTTTAGCAGAATCAAAAATGGCATGGAGCAGTGGAAGCTGGAGCTGCGTCAGCGTTGGTAAGTACTTTATTCCCTTCCCCCCTCCCCCGTGGATTAGGGCTCATGGCGATACCACGTTAAAAAAAGCGCGCCTAAAGCTCTACCTCCAGGAGCAGTGCTGTATCATTTACCTGATCGGACTCTCCTAAGGTGGTGTGGAAACGAGCCTTTCAAAAGTTGTTTCCCCATTCCTTTTACGAGTTTTGCTTTTATCTGCTGTGCTGAGGAAAAACGCCGTATGAACATTCGAGAGGTGCCAAATTTCCTCCGACAAAACGTTTAATAATGAAGAAAGTTATGAATATTTTTCCTTGACATTTTCAGGAACTTGAGGTGAAATTGCGGACAAAATTATCTGCAAATTTGGAAGAATGTATGTATAAGCCGCTAGCCGCTTTTACGGCGCTCTGCGACGCCTTTTGGCGTCAAATTTTGGCCCCAAATTTGGGAGAAAAATATTTAAATATTTTCCCGAAAATTCGTAATTTAGCGGAGGAAATTTGGCAACGCCTGAGGGTTTATACGGCGTTCTCCCTTAGCACGGCAGTGTAGCTTCTGGCTGTACAAATGAAAAACATAAATAAGTAACGTCAAAACCTGAGATTGACCATCTTTTTATTGAACAGTACGAATCTGAAATTTTCAGGTGAGAGCAACACGAAGCTGAAGAAGTGTGAATTTTCTTCTTTACACGGAGAGTAGAAATTCAATACCTGATGAGTGCCACCAGGTGCCTTTAATGGGGCATCAGTTTTTAATAGACCAAATTTAGAGAAAATTTTCTAATGGAAATTCAATAAAAACGGGGCACTTTACGCTCAGGAGCAACATGCATATTTTATCAATAACCTGATGACGCTCGCCAGGTTTTGAATTTCTACTCGTCATGTATGATAGACCAAGGTGATGTCATAAGTCTGTGTGGTATACTGCCGTGCAAAGGAAGAACACCGTATGAACATCCGAGAGTTGCCAAATCTCCTTAGATATAAGGTTTATTTTTGAGGAAAGTTATGAACATTTTTCTTTGAGATTTTCTGGAGCTTGGTTAAATTGAGAACAAAATTATTTGGAAAATTGGAAGAAAAATATTCATACATTTACTAGGAAATTCTTGTTTTATCAAAGGAAATATTGCAACGCCTGAAGGTTCATACGTCGTTTTTCCATAGCACGGCAGTATAGGATCTACGGTTTGTAATCATTGTGTTACTCTGCACCGTTCCGAGTCTATCACAAGGAGACTTATTTAACGCAGGAGTAGAAAAGTAGAAAATTACGATGCCCATTGATGGTAAGCCAAGGTGATGTTTAAAGGTTGCAGCATGAAGTTTACTTTCACAGTTAAGGGAAAGTTATTTTTCTTGAATATCTGCATTATTTCATTTATTAAATATGACTTGACAAAAAATTTAGTCAAGATGCGTGAAATCACAAAATTTTAATTGATTTAAATTTTAATCGGCTGCCGCCCACGCCTCTCCTGTAATCAAATATACTAACAGCCGTTATAACTTACCTCTTGAAATCCGCGACCTTATCGGCTGCCGCCCACGCCTCTCCTGTAATCAAATATACTAACAGCCGTTATAACTTACCTCTTGAAATCCGCGACCTAATCCTTGAAAGACGCCGTCTCCGTGTTAAATGGCAAAAATTCCGCCATTACTTAGACAAACTATATTTTAAAAAAGTAAATAGACAAACCACTAATTTAATATCAGAATTCAGACACCAACAAACATACACTTTCTTGAAAGAACTCACACCTACACCCATAACAGATTACTCCCTGTGGAAAACCACCAAGTATTTGAAAAAGAATGACTCTTTCAATGAGCCACTTAGAACACCCCTCGTTACGGGAGGATGGACTAAAACTCACCAAGACAAAGCAAATGAATTTTCCCGGCATTTATCTGAAGTCTTTCAACCTAATGCTAACATTAAATCAGATATTGACATCAAAGTCGAACAGGCGAAAATAATCCCACCGCCCCCTGAACCCTTTGCCGAAGTGAAGCGTCGGGAGGTAGCTGACTTAATTAAATATAAAATCAAAGTTAAAAAGGCGCCTGGACTGGACTTGGTCTCTGGCGATATGCTTAAAAATTTGCCTAATACAGCAATTAAAAAATTGGCAGATATCATTAGTGCATGGCTGGCCCTCTGCTGGATACCCTCCGTTTGGAAGACAGCGGGGGTTGTAATGTTTTACAAGAAAAATAAACCCAAGGCGGTCATCATTTTTTTGAGGTGTTCCCAGTGGCGTGGCGTGCTTTGCGATATATCGATTGCTATGCCATTTAAACCTATGGAAAAGGATCGATAAACAGGGTGTTCGCAGCGAACACCTTAATAATCGATTCTTTAGCATAGGTTTAAATGGCATAACAATCGATACATCGCAATTCACGCCACGCCTCTGGTTTTCGCGATTTAGAAGATTTTTTAGTATGTTCGCGAAAAGCTCACGAAAATTATGATTTTTTTTACATCTTCATATCATCTCCATATCTATAACATAATCTTCATCTTTTCCTTCTATGGTTCTGCAACTAGGGATGTGATTTTTGCATGTTTTTCTCGGCAGGGTCGGTCTTTCATCCATGTCTAACTTCTCATAACTTTTTTTTTTTTTTTTTTTTTTTTTTTTTTNTTTTTTTTTTTTTTTTTTTTTTTTTTTTTTTTTTTTTTTTTTTTAAGGGATCAAGTGCTAGATATTCCACTGCTAGTAAGCGTGTCATTCCCCCGCTCTTATTTATATTCTGGACCAAACAACACGACGTCCTTGGTTTACGTTCAAACATCGACCTTCACGGGAACCCGACCGACCCCTCGCCATCATTTTTCCGTAAACCGAAGTTTCCGCGAAGGATTCCCCATTATTTTCCGTCCGTCCACCGATACTTCGGAGCCTATAAATTCTACGCAGACGTCGGAAACATCTTTAACTTCGAAAAAAACTCGTCCACGGAGCATGGATCATAGCGACCAAGGTCGTTGGATCGGCCTTTACCTTTTCTGTAGTATTGCACGGCCCTCTTCCAAGAACGTCCGCGACTAGACGGCGGTTCGACGAACCTTATCCCGGAGGATCCTGGATCCTGTCTGTGCGTTCCTTTTCCCTCGTTTCTCGTTCTGGTCGCTTCCCACTTCCCTTCCTCGGTTCCTCCGAAGGGCGCGATCTAAATTCAGCCATCGAACCCGCTCGCTATTTGTATGGAGAGCGCGCAGCATGGACGGCATTTCCACGGTTGCTAGGTCGAAATCGAAATAATTTGTTTTTGTGGTGTGCTGTGTACTGTAGAGTCCACTGGGGAAAAAAAAAAACACATTGGATCTAGAGTCCAGACTCATAAAAACATCCACAAGAAAAAATACTCTTGATTTAATCAGATTTAAGCTTATATCAAGAATCAAGCCTCTTAATTTCAGCGGATTTCCTTTTGATTTAAGCTAAAATCTGCTTGAATCAAGAGTCCTTTCTCTTTACAATGTTTTCAAGAGTCTGGACTCTAGATCCAATGTTTTTTTTTTTTTCCAGTGTCTCTTTATAATGAGAGTCAAGTCAATGTGAATCCATTTCTGATTGGTTCCCGTATTTTGGACCTCCACGATGTCTCAAACGAGGATAAAGATTACATTTTCGCCCATTTGCAAAGATTATAATCTGGAGTGGACCAGGGAATTACGGGTTCGGCAAGGAGCAAACGGAATGAGAGAGGGAACGGAGAAAAGAATTTGAGAAAGGGCCGATCAAAGATCACGGAAAACTGTCGATTTGTGTAATCTTTATTCCTGTTTGTGACTCCATAAGAGGGGAGTTGTCTTGACTCTCAGTATAAACGGACTCTAGTGTACTGCTGCCTTGCTAAGGAAGAACGCCGTATGAACATTCGAGAGTTGCCACATTGCCTTCGATAAAATGTTTATTTTTGAGGCAAGTTATGAAAATTTTTCCTTGAAATTGTCAGGAACTTCGGTTGAAATCGCGAACAAAATTATAAGGAAAATTGAAAGACAAATATTAATATGTCTACCAGGAAATGTTTGTTTTACCTATCAAAGGATATTTGGCAACGCCTGAAGGTTCATACGGCGTTCTTCCTTAACCGGCAGAGTAGGATGAGATGTGGAGTTTTTGGGCTCAAAAGATTTCCCGTCGTCTAACAAACGGATACAAAATTTGTATGTAGAATAAGTATATGAATATTTAATAACATTTCGCTTCTTTGTAATTTTTTTATATAAGTATAAAGTACATGTCATATTATGGCATTATGAAAGACATTTCTCCGAATTAATATGGTGGAAGTTGTTACATAAGGTAAATAAAAAGTTTTTCTCTCTTAGGTAAAGTAATGCTGCTTCACTGCAACAACCATCAAGCCCTTCAGATATACGGTCGGATGTTTCTCTGTAAAAGAAAAAAAGATGAAAATATATGTTTTAGACAAGAATACTTATTGCCTATTTTTAAAATTGAACACATGTGTGTAAAAATGAATTGATTGAATAATACCTTAAATGAAGTATACATTGCCGTGCAAGTTCTCCTCGGGTAATTATTACTTTCTAATTATAACGACTTAATTATCCAACCGGGCTACAAAAGCAGAATTAATCAGAGTTCGGTTAAGAATTTTTTGGGATGTTGGGGATACAAACGGTGAGTGTACTTGCAGTAGAGTTTGAGAAGAAGAAAAAAAATTCCAGTTTTAATAATTATGCCCAGCAGCAAAACAATAATATTTATTTTTTCATTACTTGAAATGAACGGAATGGGCCAATGAATCGGATACTTGGAGAAAAGCCAGATAAATCGCCTTCAATATTATATGATACTAGATATTATGCGTTAGCGCGTGATGATAATCAGTAGAAAACAGTGATGAGTCATAATGGGTCTCGCGGTTGAAGATACTGCAAAGTTTGTATCCTACTTTCAAAAGAAAACCAAAATTTATCATTTACGACCTTCCGTTTTGGTTTTCTTCAGCAAAAATCATTATCCTAGATCATACATATAATACAGATGAGGGGCTCGAAGGACAAGGCGCATAAATGCAGTTTTGGAAGAACTGAGTTATTGAAGATTTCAAGTAACACTGGTCTCGATACCAATTCTGAGAAAAAATTGCTCATAAATTCCGATTTTTAAGCAACAAATAGTTAGTTTGAACTTTCTTTCCGCCATAAGGATCCATGTAATTTCAAAACTTCAAACACGTATTTCTCGAAATAGCGAAAACTGCACTTATGCGCCTTGTCCTCCAAGCCCTTCATATCTTTCAGCCACGTTTTTTATTAAAAATAAGATGGAGACACACTTTTATAAAAATCTCCGAGTATTATTTCATTCTCATCGAGTGAAAATAATGAAAAATTCTCGTTGCAATTTTGTGTGTTTTTGAGTGAAAAAATAAATGGACTGCATTCTGCAAGTTGGAACTATAAATTCTGGCTTTTTTGGAAAAACACTTATGTACATAGGGAAACTAATGGCACTTACGTTGTTTTCAAACCGGGCTAGAAATTATAGTTCCAAATTGCTAAATGTAGTCCAAATGAAAGCATGCACAAACTGTATCCTTTAGAAAAACAAGACATGAGCGGAAGTTATCAATGTCAAAATCTGAGATCCGCATTTTTCGGACTCACCGATACAGTGAAGAAGCAACAGAATAAAAACCAAGAAAATGTTTCAATAAATTAAATACCTCAAAGTATCCGACGAAGTATTCACGCCTTGCAATTGCATCGATACGTGTGCAGAGCAGTCTTGGACTTTTTCGAGGTCGGGCCTTTACCCATGTACACGCAGTTCCTCATCCCCCCAAACTGTCGGCAATCGTTGGAACAACCACTACACTTTTTCTGAGCGTCGCGTTTGGAGGCCGCTACGTAGTTCCAACTCGAGAATGCCATCGCAGTTTCAAGTGCAAGGAGCATCACCATCACAACTGCGAATATATTTAAGCACTTCATTACGTCACTGTGTAGGGGCAGAAAAAAGTCACAACGCAAGATCCACGATGAAACACGATGAGGATTGGGTGAGAAACTGATAAAAGGTACGCAAATCCTGAGATGCCGTCAATCAATATATAGTTCAACAAGACATATTTCCTCCGGAGCCTGCATCGTCGGGAATTCCCCAGTTTCCTCGTGAAAATCAAAGATACGTAGTATCATCTCGTCATCATTGGGGAACAAGAGGACGTACTTACATCAAAAGGAACTATACTTATTGTTACATGAGCTCTGACTTGCATGTATCCTGATGGATTTCAGGGCTCACGTAAGAATGGGCATATTTCCTTTTGATTTAAATACGTCCAAGCCTGACTCTACTGCAGACCATAATACTGCCGAGCTAAGGAAAAACACCGTATGAACCTTCAGGCGTTGCAAAATTTCCTTTGCTAAAACACGACTTTCCCGGTAAACTTATGAGTAGTTTCCTTCCAATTTTTCAGATAGTATTGTTCGCAGTTTCACCCAAAGTTCCTGAAAATTTCAAGGAAAAATATTCAAACATTTTCTCAAAAATAAACTTTCTATCGAAGTAAATTTGGCAACTCTCGAATGTTCATACGGCGTTCTTCTTTAGCACGACAGAATACCATGCCAACGAAAAACGCGCATGAACAATCGAAAGTTGTCATATTCCCCGCGATGAAATATTTAGTTTTCAGGAATGATAAATATATTTTTCCTCAAAATTTTCGAATACTTTAGATACAAAATTGAATGAAATTGTTCACCAATTTAGAAGAAAATTAGTAACAAGTATTTCAGAAAATTCATGGTTTATTAGAGGAAGCGCGACGGGGACCACAGGCTCATACTACTCTCTTCATTAGCATGCTTGAATAAATCATCACAGAAAAGGGGCTTCCCAAAAGTTGAATTCCCCCAAGATTGCAATTAACTGAATAAAGTCATATAGGGAATGTCCCTGAAGAAAAAAAAAAAAAAAAAAAAAAAAAAAAAAAAAAAAAAAAAAAAGATTGCAATAAGTTGAAGAGGCGTTTTCCTTGAGCTAGGACTACGCCGCAACACTGTAATTATAGTTGTAACGGTGGGGGAGAATGAAGCTGCTTGGACTTGTTTATAAAAAAACAAAAAGTCACTTCGGCTGGGGATACGTTGTACGAGCTTGAATTTTTAAATTGCAATTTTTCCTCTTGTCTACACAGAGAGAAAAATCAACACAAAAGTTCGGTTGATATGGGAAGTAAAACACACAAAAAACCCAGCCTTCGGTTGACAGTTTCAATAAATAATGTCAACTAGTTTTCTTGAAGAAATTTAATGAATACCAAAGTCGCTATTGTAGGAATGCATTCTCCCCGTCTCTTTATCGTTTTCTATGCTAAATTATCCGCAAATTGTACCAAAATCAACAGAAAATTTGTTTTGGTTTGTGCTTCACCTCCTATATTAACCAAAAGTAGCACAAAAACACAAATATTTGTATCGGTGTAGTTAAAAGTTAACCCTTTGTTGCATGAGCGAATCGCCGAATTTGGAGAGAAAATCTATTTTATATGGTACATTTTCGATTGAAGAGATAATGGAAGTCGAATTTTTTACATTTTTGTTTTAAAAGTTTAAGGGTGAGACTCCAAACCCCCCCTCCCCCCCAAAAAAAACCCATTTGTAGCTTTCATATGTACATTTGAAAATCTTCAATGTAAAGTAGGATGAAGATGAACAGTGAAAATGTCTGCCTGAAAGTAAGGANATAAATTGGGTTTTTTTTTCAAGTCTGGTGATTTAATTCACTCTTTCGGAAAAAGTCACAGAAAATTCCACGGAAATATTTTGGTTATTGTATTTTCAAGAATAAAAAGAAAATACAAAAAGAAAACGAAGATAACATGGAGATCCGCATATTTTTAGTTTGTCTATCGATTCAAATCATAAACTTCCTACCAAGAACTTGTTCAAGAACCTGTACAGATTTTTTAGTGCACGAGGAAGAATTCAGAAAGGAATGTAAAATCGGAATGGAACATGTGGAATTTTGTCAAAAAAGAATTGATGCCGTAATTGTGACTTTAAACCATTTTAATTTCGTACATTTTTTGTAACCTCCACATTATTATTTTACTAAGTTCAGCAAGGGCGAAACAATTCACACTTGCCTCGGATAATATACGGTGGCCTCAAAAACGCCCCTTCAAACCTACTTGATACCATTTGTTACACCTGGCTGCAAGTGTAGATTAAAGCGCTTTTTCATCTTACCAGACTCGTTCAAAACGGTCCATTTCGATTAAAAAGGTTTATTGTAACTCCGTATACACGAATCATTCTAGAGTGAGAACTTTGAAAACTAAATACTGACCAGCGTCCCAAGACTCTGTCAATTCTATTTACAATTTTTTCGAATTAACGATGGTGTTAAAAACCGAATTAAGCAACCGTATTTCTTGCTGATTTACGCTGATTCACTGCCGAGGTACTTGCATCTGAAAAAAGGAGATGAAGAAATAGAAATAGGAAAACAATGTGCCGGAGAGAGATAAATAATTTCAAAGAAATCCCAAAACCCAATGGTAGTTAATACTCCATAGCCATAACTCGTATAAGTTTTTTTTTCTTTTTGTCTTCTTTTTTTAATTTCATTACAGGGAAGTTCATTAATTCATACTTAAGGAGCTCTAGGACTAGCTAGGAAGCTGAAAGGGTGTAATAGGTCCAAAACATAAATCGTCCCCTATATTTTGGGCCAGAAAGGACCCTCAGGGGCCCTTTCAGCAAACTTCTGGAAGAATGTGAAGGAAACCTTTCCTCCGTTATCAGAGAGAGGTCACCAATTCTGATACCCAACTTTCCCCTCCAAAGTTTGGAACAAGTCAACCTCTGAAAATCAGAACATCATATACACATGATTTATCTAATAACGACTGCCATTGTAGGTCATTGTATTCTAAGCCTCGTTTAAGTGGATACCTGAGTGTATTTGGACGTATTTCTGCCAAACGGAAGTATGTGCATTAAGACGTGAGCCCTGAGACCCATAAGAATATATGCATAACAGGGCTCACGCTTTAATGCACATAGTTCCGTTTGATAGAGATACGTTCATTTAAAGTTCCATGTCAAGAATATAATCAGATATATAATTAGCCACTAGAGTATGATCATTCGAATCCGAAACTAAATTTCTCTGACATGCCCCGTATTTCTTAAATCAATCTCTGTTGTTTGTAACCATTTCCAATCTCCTCAATTTTTAAAGCTGTTTTTGAGGAACGCCAGAGAGGCTAAAAGATGCTGCAATTTCGGCTCCGGAAGCTGAAACACAGATGCCGCGAACTTTTCGCCCCTCCCCGTCTTCCGGAAATTAAAAATCTATTGTGATTCAGTGGATAGGCATTTAAAATTGGCTTCATAAAGTCATTTGATCAATCGACAGCAGAAATGTCAAGGCTGAGTGAGTTTTTTTCTTTCAACAGTTTCGACCGAATTTGACATCCTCGCTCCTTCAACGCAAGGGCATATCTCTATTTCCACATGAGCCTCAGAAAGTATACTGTTATGCGGAGCACCGGGCTCACTTGGAGATTGAGGTATGCCCTTACCTCAGAGAAACGACGATAGTCGACTTCGACTCGTCGGCGCACCGTAGGTCGACCTAAACATCGCGTTAATAATATACTCTTAAATCCATCTTTTGTCTCCCTCAACAAATTACTTGTATACAATGCACTGAAACACGCCAGTGACACATTACTGCATATTTTAAGGCAGAAAAGTGCAACTTTTTCTTTTTTATACCAATAAAAAAATCACAGCATAGTTTTTCGTCTTTTTACTCTAAATAAGTAATTCCAATCGCATATCATTCTAAATTTACACATTTAATCATCTTTACCCTCAAGAAGAACCGTTAACAAAGGGGCCAGTTCTATCATACGTCGCTTATCATACGTCGTCTTGCAATCTCGCACATATTAGGAGACTTAAACGCTGCATAAGAAAAACAGTCATATTTGTGGACGGCGCAGAGTCCCTCGTGGGTAAAATCCATGCTTCTGATTTTTTTTCCTTCTTCTTTACCAGCCGAAGATATGCCCTCAGGCGATTCCGGCGTGTCTCACACCGCGGTGTAATGCCGTGGAGTCTGTTTTTAGTCGAGATCAACCCATTAGTTTTTTTCTCCAAGTAAACTCAGTGAGCTTTGCTCAAATAAGAACTTTGTTTATTATTTTTTCTATCGTTTTGTTATCAAAACAACGACTTACAAAATTTTCAAATTTGTTTATTATTTTCCCGGCCAAAACTACATACATCTTTTAACTGGCGGCGCCCTACTTTCATATCGGGTCCAACTATCTCTTGTGAGATACCCAAAACCTTTATGAGGTTGGTGACAGTCGGTTAAAGTTTGGTATCTGTTGGCAGATTTTTTATCTCCACGATACAAAAAAAAAAAAAAAAAAAAAAAAAAACTTCTGATATGATTCATGCATTATGGATGTTTCTATCATAATGCTATTCTAGCACCTTTTTGGAAGCTTAAACTCAGAAAAGGAAAAACAACCCTATTCGCAGATGGCACTCTGAGCCCACTTAGGGCAAAATCAATATACCTTTGATACGATCCATGTAATCAATCTACCCATTTATACAAAATACTCAATCTTAAAGGGCTTTTGTTGTGATTATGTAAGGGTATTCATTTATTTCTTCTAAAATTAGGTTCAGTTTTAGCTCCTTCCCCGAAGTATAAAAAATTAAAATTGGACTTGATGCCCTGAAACAGACCGCACCATTTACCTTCTCGCAGCCCACATTTTTTGTTGATTGGCAACGGAGTTGAGTCCAGCAGGTTGGCAACACTTGCTTTTTCCATTTAAACTTAAGTTAAATGATCGACTCCTATCGAAGCACCTGATTCCTCCAAGAATCGATTCATCTCCATTGGTTAAAAGGAGAAAAACAATAATGCCAACTTGATAAATCCGCTAAAGACTGACAATCACTGTGGCATGACCGATGATACTTCCAGAGTGCCATACGCAGAGGCGGATCCAGTAAATTGGCTACACCGAATTTCCTCCATTTAAATCTATGCTAGATGATCGATTCTTGTCGGAGCACCTGGCCCCTCCAAGAATCGATACATTTCCATAGGTTTAAATGGAGAGAAGGCAATGTTGCCAATTTGCTTGATCCGCCAATGGCCATACGTAACCGTGTCTCTCAATGTCAGTGCCACCAATCCACAGGGTCATTGCGCTTATTCTATCCTATGGTGCCAGACGCTTGCCGGCCATATAGTGAGCGATTCAGCTCCAGGGGGAAAAAAACTGCTGAAACACCTGTTCTCAACATCGACCAGAGGAACTCCTCTCTTGGCTAGAAGAAGAAAAAATTCCTGCGACAATCTCCGAACAGAATCTACGCTTACTCTTCCATTCGCTTGACCATTATATAAATTAGAGAAAAAAAGTTTTAAAAATCCTTCCTCTTTTCAATGTCTTCCGCAGTCTATCTATTCGTCCTAGATTTTTAAAAAAAATGACTAATAATTATTGAAAAAATATTTCCCATTCCTGATGATTCAATTTCATTTGCATCATCGGATTCATTCGGTATCGGTGTTAGTTCTAGTGGACAGAGTGTGCCGAAAACTTGAAAATCAAGTGAAACGTGATTTGTTCCGTTTTAGTGATTTTAGGGACGGACGTTATAATTTTAGTGGTTTTAGGTTCTCACGGGTATTTTAGGTGTGACTCGATCAAAGGTAATCATTTTTATGACATTTTTAAAGTACGATTTAACTTTAAAATTGTGCAATATCCTGCAAACGTAACAACACACGCACCTTTTCTCACACAGATTAATGTTTTTTTCTTCATTTTTTTTTAAAATTGTAAAATTAATTTATTAGTAATTTACAGATTAACAATGGAGTTAGATAAGCATTCCTGAGTTAATACTTAACATCCCAATTCCCAAAAAAGGAGCTCTAGAATACTTGAGCAAAATAATTTCATATTGTTTCTTTTGATCAGTATCAGGTTAGGTTTTTTTTAATGTTGGTGTTAGCACTGAAGCAATAAATGTTACGGGAGTAAAATTGAAAAAGTATGAAATGTTTTCATCCAGAACAAAGGAGCAGCATTTTTTCATGTTACTCAAAGTTACAATTGAATTGTCATTGGCTCACTATAAATTAGCACATAGGTCAGAATTGATATTGCACGACAAAATTTCATCAATTTGAATTTATCAAGGTTTTTTTTTTTTTTTTTTTGACTATTTTTTCATCACATCTTTGTTTAAGAAGTTAGTAGTAGTAAGTAAATACATACTTTAGGACTAGTTAACCAAATTATAAGCCTACTATGAACTATGTGTAAAATGACAATAAATTAGTAAACTTAATTACTTGGGCTATGACTTAAGTAGTTGAATTAAGTAGATATATTTACGAGTAGAGGGCACTTGCAAAATTGTACATACAAAATAATAAAAATATAATAAAACCTATACTGTGTATACATCCTTATCAATGTATTACACCATTATAATTTCATGTTGAAAGCAACAAGAAATACTGGAGTTAAAAATGAAATATTTTGTGGAGCATAAGTCCAGTATGAAACCAAACTGTTCAAGTTTTCCGGCTTAGAGTAGTGATGGAAGTTCTAGTTGCGGAAGGTTCTGCTGACCAATAGGAAATCATATCGCTGAATGTTGAACTTTTTTTTGCAATGCGAGTCTCAATGTCACCGCAGCGCCGCGTAGTGGGACAAAACATTTGAAGAGGGGGGCTTAAAATGTTTTACTAAAACTATTATACCTTTTGAAGTTTATTTCGTCAAATGGTTCATTTTAAGGAGTGCTTCTGAAGAAGACGCTGCAAGAAAATCGATGGATCCAAGTTTAAGTTTCTTTTTTTTTGTATTATTTTTTGTATGGGCATTTATTTGTGAAGTTTCCTAATTGTGTCCAATCTCTCTCTCATTCGCTGGTTGCAGCTTACTGCGCCCCGTTGAACGATAGGGTTTAGGAGCATAAAACAGAGATCGTGGAGAACTTGACATTGGTTTTGTTGATCAAAGCAGCCGCTCTGTAGCTGGTTTAACTGATGGACATTTTGATTGCGTAAGTGGGGTGTCTTGAGTGATGGAAGCAAGTGGATATTTCAACAAAAAGTCGAAGTTTTTGAACGTTTTCCACATCGAATATATTTCATATGATCGCATGTTTGAGATCATATTGAACAATGTCAGCCCATTTGGGTGAATGAGGAAATTAGATGTGTTTAAAAATACTTCGATGGCCGCAGTGCGAAACCACGTAATACGTTTGCAACGTTTCAAACGTCCTGTCCGTCCTGTTTTTTTTTTTTTTTTTTTTTTTTTTTTTTTTTTTTTTTTTTTTTTTGGAAAACTAGTCAAAGAAATTTTTTGAAAACGTCCTTAATTTTTTTTTCTCAATTAGCAGATTATTCTGTCAAAAGTTCAAGTCTCAAAGTTGTCTTGTTTGTCGTCAAAAAATCGAAACAGGTGCTAAAATTTTGAGGTTTTGCACCTTGACCATCGACTTATCCGTATTCCAAGATAGACTAGGAGTCCCCTGGATACTGATCTAGATGTAGATTCCCTTCCAAGATAGACTAGGATTTTGAGATTTCGACGGAGCTTTCTCTAATTCTTTAATGCAATCAATCGCGAGGAGTATATTCCCTTTTTTGCCAAAAGAGGGCGTGAATCTGCCTTGTAAGTTGACGATTGTGTTTCCTGTAAATGACAGTTATGCACTCCGAACAACTTAATTTCTCGAAAATATGCTCTTTGAACCAGAAACTTCAAACTACTGGAGCGTCCGCGCGTCTAGTCTGACATTTTTGGACTTTTTCTAGTCTCAAGAAGCTCGTAAAACTCTCTGCTGATTGTGAGCTTTGGCATCAATATTAAGCGCTCAGCCAATAGGCAGCGCTTTTTGATTTCGAATTGCCTCTGAGTACTAGTATACTAGTGCTAATGCGTTTAAATGGCGCACCAGCTCATCGATGTGTAAGCTTTTTTTTTTGGGGGGGGGTCCATTTTTAAAATAAATAAAGCTGTGAAAACTGCATTTTATGCTTTTAACGTAATGCGCAGGTAGTTTCGATCGTTTGTCTATAAGAAAATTTCTTAGCGGTAGAGTAATTCTTATCGAAATGGATCGTTGAACTCAAATGAAGCCTAAAAAAAACCCGCCTGATGAGCTAAACGGTGAGCTCATTTTCGGGAAAGAAAAATACGCGTTTACGGTTTCCTTGGTAACCTTTGTTTGATATCAGCTGATGTTTTATTTCCATTTCCCAGCCAAGTCGACGGAGTTTATACGTCCTTTCTTCATTAAATACATTTACTAACACCTGAGCGCTTTTCTAATACGACAGTATTAGAACTTTCCCGCTTGTTTTTTTTATTTTCTTTCTAGCCAAGGTTGCCCTTCTAGCGGACATTGATAAATAGGTATATTGAATTTAATTTAATTTCGTTGGTTTTCCCTGTATATCAGATGAGCGCAGCCGTAGTAATTGGAACAAGCTTGACACCTCTGCTTTTCTTCTTTCTCGCACTAACATATGTGGTCTATTCGTTAACCCAACGATGGAAGCACAGGAAAATCATCCAATTTATGTCCCAAATTCCGGGCCCACCAGCTCTTCCGATTATCGGAACATTTTATATATTCCTTGACCAACTGAGAACCATGGGTAAGTATGCCAAGAACTTCGCATTAAAAATGTAGTACATTACACGTGCATTCAATGCAAAGGCACTGGATTTTAGAGAAGCCTGCTCTGAAGGTTGGGCCGCGCAGCAACCAGGGGACGCACCCCTTAGTTTTAAAAATAGCCTCCCAGATAAAGTTTGAAGCAGGAAATTAGTTGGAAGTAAAATTACCACTATCACTTACCAGATTTCTGGTCGATGAACGCAGCTGCATTAGACCGAAGACTAAACTACTATACCGTTTCAAACAAAGCAGACAGCTCGATCAACTCAGAAGAGCACTGCTGTGCTAGGAAAAACGCCGTATGAACCCTCGAGAGTTGCCAAATTTCCTCCAATAAAATGTTTATTTTTAAGGAAAGATATGAATATTTTTGATTGAAATTTTCAGGGGCCTTAGGTGAAATTGCGAACAAAATTACCCAACAAATTCGATGAAAAATATTCACAAATTTTCCCTGAAATTCGTAATTTACCAAAGGAAATTTGGCAACGTCTGAAGGTTCATACGGCGTTTTTCCTTGACACGGCGGAGCAGAAAGAATTTCTTCATAAAATCCGTGCATGATTTTTTCTAGGTTTTCAAGGGATCGCATTTATGTGAATGCCAGTCATGTATCACTTCAATTGAATTTTTCTGTTCATGTAATTTCAGATGTGACCAGATTTCTTCTTGACGTCGTCGAAAGTTTTCCGGAGACCTCTCGACACTGGCTAAATTTCACACCTTACATTGTCACAACTGATCGTGAAATAGTTGCCGTTAGTATTGCAAAGTCTTTACATCTTGTTCTGCGAACTTATTGCATATCTTATACAGGAAAATCTAGAGGAAATTATAGTTTAAATCTTAATAATTTTGAAACGAACAATGAGATCGGAGTTTTTTTTGATCGCTTTATATTTGTGTTTAGTTAACTTCATAATGCAATTTCAAATTGCAAATTCAAGCAGTTAACAGCATCCTCATTTTTAACAAAGCAATATGAGCTCTGATTCTCTCTCGTCAAGATTCCTAGAGTGATCTCATGATCAAACCGTTACAGAATTGTACAGCATGATTAGACGTACACGACCAAAATCAACTTAGCTACAACAGACGTTGTCTAATTTCCTCTTTTTTTTCTTACTGAATTTTTTTATTTTTAAGAAAATAGGAAATTGAAATAATTTGTGTGAAGTGAGCCTGGAAATATTTGTTCTTTCACTCTAGAGAAAGCAGAGAAGCTACAAGTAACCGTAAAATGCAGTTCGGCAAATTTAGATTGATTTTGTTTCAATGAAATCTAATTTAAATTATTCACTGCTTTAAACTGCAACCGAAGAAAAAATGTTAATACTTCCGTAGCATGTAAGAGTGTCTAATTTCCTTCATTTTGAGGAGACCCTCAGCCTCTACTCCTGTATAATCTGATAAAAAAAGATCATCAAAACTGGGCCACATTTTCCAATTAGGGACTACCGTTTTTGGCTCAGTTTAAGAACAGCATGTTCCATTAGTTTCCTTGAACTCCCGTGCTAAGGAAAAACGCCGTATGTGCCCCCAGACGATGCCAAGTTTCCTTCGATAAAAACGAAATTTACTGGGGAAATTTTGAAAATTGTTTTCAAAAAATTTCAGGCAATTTTGTACACAATGTAATATAAAATATCTGAAAATTTCACGGAAAAATCATGCATGATAGTCGTCAAAAATGCGTGTTTTATCAAGGGCAATTTGGCAACTCTCGAATGTTCATACGGCGTTCTTCCTTAGCACGCCAGAATAGACGTGTGTGCTTTTACGAATGAGCCAGAAATTGTAGTTCCTACTCGAACTACTTTGTAGTTTCTTACAGTTGAACACTGAAACGCCATGAAGCAATGGAATGTGCCTTAGAGGTCTAACTTAGTCTTCGTTACTTATTTTGTTGGCAGGCTCTCACCAGCAGTCGTGACAACGTGTCAAAAGCGAAAGAGTATGAAAGTTTGAAGCTTATCAGTGCCGGCCTTTTCTCTTCTACTGGTAAGTAATATGTTTTCGAAGTTTGTTTCATCTACTTTTCTTGGAATAAAATAATTCCTGAGTTTTCGGAGGATTTCAAAGAAAGTTCGTAATTTATTGCTTCCGCCTCCATCGAACTGGGCCGCCCCTCCCGCAAGAAAAAACAGTTAATGGCGGGAAGGGGGACAAACACACACACACACACCCTCACCCATATGTTACATAATTGGACTGCATTTTGCAATTTGACCTATAAATTCTGGCTCATCTGAAAAAACGCTTATGTGCATAGGGGAACTAATGATACATACGTTGTTTTTAAACCGGGCTAGAATTTATAGTTCCAAATTGCAAAATGTTGTCCAATTATGTTACACATGTTACATGTGTTACATATGTTACATAAGTTATACTCACACACCCCCCCCCAGTAAGCGTTCTTCCCCCTCCCCGCCCCTTACTGCTAAGACATATTGTTCAGGCCCGCGATAGGGTGTACCTGATTTGTACCTTGATGTAAAAATTAAGTGATGAAAGAATAAATTATGATAAAACTCGGTTTTTTTATTCATCCGGTTAGAAAATATTCAAACGCCCTAAAATTAGTTTTAAAGGCAAGAAAAGTGGATTACTAATAGATTTTTCTTTGATTGACTCCTTCAGGCAATCTGTGGCGGAAAACGAGAAGAATCGTTAACCCCGGTTTCAGAACGAGTGTCCTAGACAGCTTTGATGAAAATTTCAGCCACCATGTTCAAGTGTTTCTCGACGCTGTAGAGGAACGTGTCAAAACAGGAGAGGAGTTTAACGTGTTCCGCATGGTACACTCATTCACTCTTGATGCTGTAATTGGTAAGTCAAAAACCAGAAACCCCAGAAACTCAGAGATGCCCAAGAATTTTTTACCAAATCCAATTTTTCCAAAATCCCAAGTCGGCTCAAATTCACCTCTATCAACCTTGTTTCATCTTTCCTCCTCAATCACACAGGGACACAGGGGCAGTGTCTCATTGGGCTAAAATATAAAATATGTAATGTAGGTGAAGAAATGCTGCTGGGTTCACACTATTTCGCGGGGGAAACAGAGCCAGGAAGTTCCAAAAATTATGATTAGAGTCAAAAATAAATTTTTTAACTGATGAGTAGTACAAAACTGACGGTGGATAGAGTGTTCAGCTCTGGCAGTTTGCATTGGAATATTAAAGTTGAGGTCACGCCGAGAGATCCATAACGTTCTTTCCTTCATTCAAGCTCTTAATTGTAAATCAATTATTATGCTATCTTAGTACAGTTAATTTACTGCTGCTATTTAACTTTGTCACTGAGCAGAACTTATCAAAATTTTTCTTTCTTTAAACTATGGGTCTTTTTAGACCTCATCAGTGTGGATCACCCTCGTCAGTGAACCCAACTAAGCTACCCGCAAAATCCAAGACGGCATTAAAACGCAGTTATGAATATACCATGGCGGCGCGTGCTACCAGCTCGAAACGTGCGATGATGCCTACAAACCTAAGGGGATACTTCAAGCATTGCGCAATGCTTGAAGTATCCCCTTAGGTTTGTAGGCGTCGGTGCGCGCTTTGCGCTGGCGGGCGGGTGGAGAAGAATTTCTTGCGGACAGAGCTCCCTGGCGGGGAAACTCGGGTATCGTGAAATTTTCTTTTTTAATTTTCGACTTTTAAAATTACACATTGTTAAATTACACACTGGTTGTGTGAAGTAATTAGTGTACTCTCAACACTAGATGAAGTGTAATAATGAGAGGCGAGTCGTGCGCCATGCGCGCTGCGGACATCGCGGCGCTCCATTCTGTGTCCTCTCTAATGGTCCTTTCTACATGGAGTAACCTTTCTGATGTCTGGCAACGCTGTAAGACTAATATGGATAATTGTGTTTGATTGACTTAACTTTGCTGTGTTCCAGATAATATGTTGGGGGTCCGTTTGGATATTCAGAAGGAGAAAACGTATCATCTGTCTCGGTGTGTTGAGAAGTAAGTTGCCGTGAGGATTTGATACTTAAAAAACACCTTATCTGACTGAGGTTTGAAAACCTCCTCCATAAAGGACCTCTTCACTTTAAAACAATTTAACAGCAATTAAGTAAACAAATTCCTCATTAAAAAGTTGCTGTTGATTTTAGTGGGCAAAATTACTCATTTTTTGCAATTTCCAGTTTTGAAACATGCAGTAACTTAATTTCAATGTTCCATTATTATGGCGATTCTGTTGCACTCTCCACATGGTTGATCACATCATCGATAGCTATCGGATTTTAGGATCCTCCCCCTTCTCTAAAAATCATAAAAAATCACACACAATTTTACTGAGGTCATTTTAAAATAACCTTGAAAGTACTTTTTCGTGTGAATGTAGCACCTCAAAAGACAGGATAATTTTCGATATCCAATTGGGATGTACTTTTGGAGTTTTCTTGAAAGTGCTTTCCGATTGGTTCTGGTGTGCAATTACCTGATTTTTTCCAGCATGACGATATATTTGGGGATTTTTGAGAAAAAAAATTTAACGATCCCAAATTACCAATTAACTAATTGACTATTGAAGTGCTTTCTAAAAAGTTGAAGTTCCACATCCCTTTAGTCTTAAGTTATGACCACAAAATGACTCACTCAAAAGTATGATCAAAAGATGAGGATACAAGTTGCTATGACTCACCTTTAAAATGATCATAATGATGCAGAATCTGGAATATTATCTATTTTACTTTTTATACTGCCTGAATGTTTGATTTAAAAAAATAATTTTTATAGGGCAGTTGACATGTTCTTTGAGAGATCTTTTAACCCTCTAATTTGGCCAGATCTCGTTTACTCTTTGATTGGGAAGAAGAAGATAATGGTTGAAGTTAGCGCCGAAATGCGTCGCCTTGCAGAGGAGGTAGGTAGAATTTTTGTAAAATGTTAAACTTTTTTTCTTTTTTTGCTTGCAATATTGCAATAACTTTCCTCAATTTATTCATCAAGTAATGTAACGTGTCATAGGTTCTTTGTCGTTTCTGTTATACTGTAAGGGTTTATACCTTTTTTTTGCACATCCGCGTATTCATGATAATTTTTTGGCAGCTCGTGCAAAAAAGTTTAATACATTTGAAAGAATATGGTACATCACAAGCAAGTCTTAAACATACGATCTCGTAGTAAGATTAGAAAGCTGAAACTTCGCACCTATCACCCAAAAAACTTATATAGCAAACTCCTTGGGCTTGGTCTACTCCCCTGGCCTTAGTTACTTATGTTAATATCTGCGGATGCGCCAATATTAACACCTTGGTGTAGTTTTTTCTCAACTATCTAAAATAAAGGGTAAGACTCCGACCCACAATAGATGTTCTACGTGAGCTAAATAGTGCGATTCTCCTTCAATGCAACGCTTATGCAAGCGCAACTCACACGAGTTGAAAAAATCGTTCATTTGGTGGCGGGCTCTCACCCCTCATGCTTCTATCTCTATCAAATCTTCAAATAGACCCGCGAAAGGGCGAATCACCTCTAACGCAGACTCACATTTTTTCCTCGGAAAAAGAAAGAAGAGAAGGAGTATTACCAGGGAGAAATTTTAATTCGGTAATTTCACAATATCATTTACTGAAAAGTCAGGAATTGAGAGTAAGGCCATTTTACACACGAAACGATAAAAGGCTCTAAAATGGGTCGGTTCCGCTGGTCACAGAATCGTGATTGATGCTTGATTCTTGTGGATTAGCTGAAAATAATAAGATCTGTCCAAACAGCGACTTTCTACGTTCAATATTAACCGAGATATCGCGCCTTAAAAAACTAGATTTATGACGTCATCCGTCGCGGCAGTGACACCCTCGGTTTCTTCCTGTTTTGTTCGATCAGTGAAGCAGAGGGTGCAACGCGCAACTTGAGCGACGTTAAGCGTTAACGAAGTGAGGTGAACTGACCGACCGCCTAATCTCTTCGCGGCGAGTGCGTTATATCGTCTGATGAGATGATCATTAAGGTGCGAATACGTCTGTTTCTTGAGTTTGTTAACGTTTAACGTCGCTCAAGTTTCGCGTTGCACCCTCTGTATCACTGATCGAACAATAAAAGAAGAAACCTAGGATGTCACTGCCGCGGTGGATGACGTTAAGAACCTGACTTTTCAAAAGGTGATATCTTGGTTAATTTTGAACCTAAAAAGTTGCGGTTCCGACAGATCTTAATATTTTCAGCTAATCTACAAGAATCAAGCACCAAAACACGATTCTGTGATTAACGCAACTGACTTTTTGTGTGTTTGAACATTTGACCAACGTGCTGGAATAAAATTTAATAATTGTGCCATGGAATCTTTTAGGTTTTGAACGAGAGGATTGCACACAGAGAGAGGCAAAGGAAGGAAAATCCAACTGCAGGTCAGTAAATGTCGCAACTTCTTTCCTTTTTGCTGTGGTTGATTTTCAGTACGACGTTTCTTATTTCTGGATCATACTTGATTTCGAAAAATTGAGGCACTTTTCGCCCCATTCACCTTGAAAAATCGAGGCTTCATTTTATAAGGATAGAAAGTGGGTGACAGGCGTAGTTTTAAAGTGGACATATCTTTTATAATATTTTGTAGAAAAACGTTCGTTGCTCCAAAAAAAGTTACGACTTTTGGGAGTTTTATTTACACGAACTAAATCAAACTGAAACCTGATCCGACAACTATGAACCAGAGTGATCATTTTTTAGGTAAAAAACAAAGAAATTACTGATTAAGGGTGCTATCCTAAAATGAGACATTTTACACTATCAAGCCTTATCTTTGTAAAAATGTCAAAGATTATGCGTTTTTTAGAACTATTGCAGCATTAGTTAAATAGTTGAACGATTATTTTATTTTGTCCTTTATAGAGACTCCTCAATACTTTATGGAGTTACTGTTGAATGGAATTGAATCTGGTGAGGTAACGAAACAACAATGCGTTGAAGAAATAATTGAACTCTTCCTCGCTGTAAGTCTCTGTTTATTAACATTTTGTATGCACTGTGCTTTAAAAAATTATGTATGATACACATTAATTGATATTTTTGAGCATCGAGTTATAAAGTAGGGGAGGCTGTTGTACCTCAAGCTCATTTGACCTTGAAAGTAACATGTCTATAGGGCTTTCTAGGGATAATTGACACAAGTGGACAAGTTTGGTTTCAAGAATGTTCACACAAAGTCTCTTCTGTTTTTTGTTTGTGAAATATTAAAGAGGAAATTTGAATTGCTCTATCTTATACCATAGATAGAGGCCCATTTATTACCTCACTGTATAATGTACCATTATTATCGTGGAGTAGGAGATGGTTAAAAAGTAAATGTCAACTTTATATAAGCCCGTAAATACGTATAACCACAAAATTGGCCGCATGTAAAGAGCAGTCTAACAATTCTCCACGACAGTGAAACTGCACTTTTGAAATATCTTAGAAAAATACAAAATAGACAAAGCAATCGACGACCCAAAGTATATGTCAAATTTTCAAATTGAAATACATAAGCGGCAAATTTGAATAGTATTAAATCAATGATTTACTATTGCCATCTAGTTGGCAGATCAGTAACGAACATCGACAACAGAGATACCACCGCCAACTGATAACAGTCGTCAATATCCACCTTTCCTTTATACTGTTTCCTTTTTTTCTAATTTTACTGTATCTTATAATTATTCCAATCATATTCAGTTTATTTTGTTGCCGAGTCCTTTCTAATTGTTTATCCTGACTATGCAATGAAATGCGAAAAATTTCGACAAAATAGGTAAGTCGTAAATTTTAATTCCCAATAAGGCCATTGGTCAACCAATTTTAAACCATTACTACTCTTTATAATTACTATAAATGAATGTTTTTGAATTAATAGCGTCTTATCGGTTCATGCCATGAAATTGAGACACCCTATTTTGACTGCAAATCAATTTGTTTCCTCTTGACTGACAGCGACTCGCATTTTTTAGGGATCCCTCACGTCCGCTATCACGATTTCTTGGATGATTAAAGGAGCAGCCATGTATCCACATTTGTCAGAGAAAGTATATGAAGAGGTTATGTCTGTTTGCGGCAACAGAAAAATCACCTACGATGACTTGTCGAAACTAACCTACTTGGATATGATTGTTAAAGAAACACTGAGGCACTGTACTTTACCGGTCATTGGTAGAGAGATAACCTCTGAGCTCAAAGTCAACGGTATGTACCACACGATACCCAACGATACTACGTATTATTGCATTTTTGCAAGAGCACACAGCTCATAGATATTTTGATCAACTTGGTATGAGAAGCATCATACCAAGTAATATAATTGTGTTAAGGTGGTAAAAGACTGCTGGGTCCACACTATTGCAGCATGCCAAAAAGTCAAAGACTTTCAATTGGAATAAACAATTTAAGCTCTAATGAATTTTAGTACAAGGGGGGAGGGTTTTCAGCTCAGGCAAATGCATTGGGGTATTACTCTCCCCCTCAAGGGAAATAGGTATCCTATTTCCCTTGAGAATCCTCCCCCCCCCCCCCCAAAGTCTTGTTCTGATCCTCATTAGGGCTCAAATTTTTACTCATATTGAAATGTTTGAACTTTCTGTCCTCCCTCTACTTGCAAAATAGTTGGGACCTAGCACTATTTGGCCGTATTTCTGCCAAACAGAACTAGAGACGTGTGGGAAGAAAGTGAAAAACTTGTGTGTTTAAAACTTAAGTGACTCTTAAAATTTATCTGTGTGTAAGTTACCTGTATTAAAAATACGGCAAATTCAACTGAATTTCTCGGTTGGTGCCAAAATCAGTAGTGAATATGATTAAACTCTCATTCCTTTTTCTCAGTGGTATGAGAAAGTTTCATGTACTATTACTCTAACTATAGAAGTTACTTACTCATATTTGTTTCTTTTTGTTTAGATAAAATGACAATTCCTCCTGGTATCAATGTCCTTGTACCACTATTTGGTTTGCACCACGATCCTAGGTACTGGGAGAAACCGAACGAATTTTATCCTGAGCACTTTTCTCCGGAGAATGAGGGCAAGAGACCGAAAGGAACTTTCCTACCGTTCTCCAATGGACCCAGAAATTGTATCGGTAATACTGATGGTTTTTTATAAAGCATGGTTTCATCAAACCTTACTAAGTTAGTAATAATATGCAGTTTTACACTGTTTAATGGTGTATCCGTGAGGATACAATGGTTGCAATAGGTATGAAACCTCCCCCCAGTGGGGATTCTTCAATGTTGGCAACGCTGGATTCTCTCCATTTAAATGCACGTATAACAATTGATTCTCATGAGGCGGCTTGCCTCACCTAAAATCGATATTTTTAATGAATTTTAAGGAGGGAAAACAAGCTTGCCAACTTGCAAAATTGTCACTGCTTATTGCGTAAAGAGGGGGAAGGAGAAGAGAAACAATTGCGAGGAAATGAGATCAAAAGGATCTTATTCATAATTTTTCTGCGTCAGCATTCTTAGAGGATAATCCGAAATTCAATTGATCAATTGATAATTTTTACATATTTAAGACTCTGATTTTTTAAACTCCCTCGAAAGCAAAATACATTGTATTGCATCATTGACATATAATTTCATTAGAAATAAACATCTACATTAAAAACACGCGCCGTATGCATAGTATGTATATTGCATATGGTTGGGTCTTCAGTTCCTTTTTTGGACAACGTACTTTTGGACTTATTTCAAAGTACTTTCCCATGAAAATAAACCATTGCCTGATTCATCGCAATGTTTTGTGTTTTTGAACAAGTTTTGTGAAATTTATGTATCATAAAATGAACAGGCTCAAGTAAAAAAAAAACCGACGTCCAATTAAATTTTGTAGCATTACATGAGTTTGGTTTCCTCATCAACACTGGGCAATTTCCTTTATAGACTATTAACCAGGGTCGGATTAAGGGGGTGGCCACATAGGCCTCGGCCCATAGCGGCAAATTTAGGGAGCGGAAAATTTTGCAATTTTTTTAAATGTAGGTATAAAAAAATCGGATTTAAAAATAAAATTATCAATGAGAAAAGGGGACGAAAAATCTCTTCCCTGAGAGTATAGTAATTTCTAGTTTTGTCGTTTTTTCGGTGATACAAGAAGTAGCATCTTTAATTAGTAGAGTGAAGAGATAGAGGAACTAAATACGCAATTTGGCCTGGAGCTCAACGCAGAGAGGAAGGATGACGAGGACTTGAGATGAAAAAGACAAGCCCTCCGCGCGGCGATCGGCTTGTAACACATATTAGCGCCTACAAGACTGAATGAATACTTCACGCATTGCGTCAAACACAATGCGGTCAGCAGCGGTCGGCGAGCAACGCATAGCGCCTACAAGACTGTAGGAATACTTCAAGCATTGCGCCAAACACAGTTCGGTCAGCGCGGCGATGCGGTGGAAGTTAAAATTATTAAACCACATTTATGTTTGTTCTTTCATAATTTTTTCGTTCATGTCTTATGAATGGAGGACCTTGTCCACATAGGGATAGGTTTACGGAACTGAACTTTCGCGCAAAGTTCCGTGAAATTTTGCTAGTAGTGTTGACAGGGCTTTCGCAAAAAATGTATGCAACACGAGTATGTAAAAGCGTCTTATACACCTCTCCTCCTCCGGCACGTTCACTTGATGTTTTTTATTGATGATTCCAAACGAATGAGAAGAGGGCGGCAAAATACAGGCGGCCCATGGGCGGCAGGTAGATAAATCCGGCCCTGCTACTAACTATATTTTCGATATTTTTAATAAAATCATTCCACAATTCTAAGGTTTTAAACTAAGGTTAAATCATTAGCCACAAAAATTTACTCACGCAAATTTTAAAACATCGGGTTGAGGACAGTGGCATGGCGTGCTTTGCGATGTATCAATTAATCTGTCATTCAAACCTATGAAAAGAAGTCGATTATCTAGGTGTTCGCAACGGACACTATAATAATCGATTCTTTATCATTACATCAATGTTGAAATTTCGATAGTCACTTACTCTCGCCACGCCACTGGTTGGAGATAGGACGTTTTCAGAGATAATTCAATTCATCGATTAACCGTGGAATATCTCTTGATGGAACTATGAAACCATGTTTTCCGCACTCGGTTTCGTAACACGGAGCTTATTTGCTAGTACCAACGGAGTTTTCCTCGTTAATTTGAAATTAAATATCTTTTGGCCGTTTTGCCACAAAAAAATTAGTGAAGGATGTAGAATTGGTATTTTTTAGGCTGTCTTGGTGTTGCAAGTGGTTTCGGGTTCAATGAGCTATTATGTATCCCCTAGTCAGGAAAACATCCTAAAATTCGCTGAAAAGGGGGGTAATACACTGAACCCTCTGAACGAACATTCATGTTCCATTTTTAAACTCAATCAAGGGCCGACCCGACCCCTATACAACGAAATCCGGTCTTTAAAATCCGAATCTTCACCTGTAATATTGGAAGACAAACGAGAAGATGAGGAATGTAAAACGAGGAAAAACACAGAGAGAGGGAAACGCGAAAGAAGCTAAATTCATATTATCTCTCTTTTCCTTTTCCCTCTACTTAAGCTCATTCTGTTTTTTCTACTTATTCTTCCCAATTCTTCCACTAGTCTTTTTCCCCTCTTCACTGGAAAAAAAAACACGTTGGATCTAGAGTCCAAACTCTTGAAAACATTGACAAGAAAAAGGACCCTTGATTCAATCAGATTTAAGCTTAAATCAAAAGGAAATCCGCTCAAATTAAGAGGCTTGGTTCTTGATTTAAGCTTAAATCTGATTGAATCAAGAGTCCTTTTTCTTGTCAATGTTTTCAAGAGTCTGGACTCTAGATCCAATGTGTTTTTTTTCCAGTGTAAGGGCACTTTATCAAGGTGGTTCGAGGGGTACTAAAAAACACCCTGCTAAGGGAAATCTGTGGGACTTCCCCAGTTCTAAAGAACGGTTTGGGGTTTCCCCTAGTTCCAAAGGTAGATGGGAAGGGGGGGTCCCTACTCACAAAAGAGGGTCGGAGGATTTTTCTAGTTCCAAGGGAAGGTATGGCGGGGGGGGGGTTGCCGGGAAAATTTTGAAAAAAAAGGTCGTCTTTGGAGAACTTTGAAGCAGTTTCCGCCGAAAAATTGACCGAATTCCAATATCGTAGATGAGAGGAACGTTACGCACTTACCGGAAAAATTCTTTACATTCTCTCTACGGAACCAATTAGATTTCTGGAGGGAGGGGGGGGAGCAGATCTACCAGTTCCCTAGTTCTACTCTTGCTCAAACGACGTTCTTCCTTACAGAGGCGGATCTAACAATTTGGCAACACTGGATTTTCTCCATTTAAACCTATGTCAAGTAATCGATTCTTGTCGGAGCACCTGGCCCCTCAGAGAATCGATATATTTGCATAGGTTTAAATGGAGGGAACCCGGTGTTGCCAAATTGCTAAATCCGCCAATGCAGTTCCTTAACACGGCAGACAGCATAAAATCCTTACCCTAGTAGCATGATTCACTTTCCCCTTCCTAACAAACGTATAAGGAATTAATACCGGTTATATAAGCACCATTTTAACTAAAGTTTATGTATCGTGTATATAAGTTTTATATAAAATGCCCATGAAAATAATTATTCATATTTTCAGAAGATAACGTTTATATAAAATTCATATAATTGAGGAAGGGTTTTTATAAATTTTCTTTATACGCATAGTATCCTTTTGCTTAATTTGCTTAATATAACTGTTATATAAATGACCTGAATGACTTTAACGTAAACCTATCTCATTTTCATGAATGATGATGATGATCTCATTTCAATGAACACCCTCGACTCTCAGACTGCGTGGGATAGGTATTATTAGAGGTATTAGTGGCTCCGAGACGAGTTAAAAGGGGATATTTCGGCACACAATCCGAGGAGCCCTGTTACCTCAGTTGGTAGCGTGTCTGGCTCATAACCCTGCCCAGTTAGACAGCAATATTTTAAAAATATTTTAAAAATATTGAAATTTAATATATTTTTAAAATGTTTTTCATGTATTTTTAAAATATTTTCAAAAATACTTTTGAAATACAATCAATGAATATTTTCAAAACATTTTAAAAATATATTAAAAATATAAAAAATTAAAATTTTTAAAATAATATTTTATAATATTTTTAAAGTATATCATAATTATTTTTGTTAATATTTTAAACATATTATTAAATATTATTTTAAAAATTTTAATTTTTTTTTAAATTTTTAAATTAATATCATAAAAATTTAAAAGAAAAAAGGAAATGAAAATAATAATAAATAAATAACATAAATACAACGACATAAATTCAAACTAGAAAAAGGCCCAAATAATTAAAACTGGAAAAAGACGCAATTATAAAGTTAAAAAAAATAGAGAGAGAGAGAGAGTTAAAAAAATGAGAGTTAAAAAAAAATAGAGAGAGTTAGAAAAAATGATAGTTAAAAAACATGATAGTTAAAAAAAAGAGAGAGCTAAAAAAATGACAGAGAGTTAAAAAAAATGAAAATGAAAAAATTACATCATTAAATAAAAAACAATAGATAAATAAATAATAAATAATAAAGTCTGGTAAAATATCATAAGAATCCGTCAATAAACAAACATATTACGGACTCAGTTAGAGATAGTTAAGAGATTGAATTTAGGGGCCCATCCATATCAAGCCTGGCTGGTCTGGTGGTAAAGTACTGGACTTCGGATTGCAACTCCATCCCGAGGTGTGGGTTCTAATCCCGACTAGGACGCCGCGGATTTAAGGTAAGTCACAACTCTACGATGATCCACCACCTGGTAGTATCGCATATGAAAACTTGCACACTTCATAACTAGAGTGCGCTACCAGCCAGGAAGAATAATGAAAATTCATTTTATACACTGTTTGAATTTGGTTATATAACTTTTATACTAAGGGTCACATAAAAAGCGTATTGATAATGTAAACTTTTAACTAAAAAACTTTACATCCATTACATAAACAATGAATATTCTTTAGCTTGTGGTTATTTACGGTTTAAACTTTTAAAAACAAATTTTTTATATAACTCTGCTACTAGGGTACATTTATTCATTTTTTTCCAGGTAACAAATACGCGATGCGGGCCATGAAGTGTCTCCTGGCAAACGTGGTACTTCGATTCACAGTCTCGACGTCCGAGCCAGTGCCCAAAGACATCATCCACGATCTCCAGTACAAGATCGTTTTCCTCATCTGCCCCAAGCATGGCTGGAACGTCCGCTTCCATAATAGAGTTCACAAATCGGAGAACCCTTCGTCCGAGCTAACTCTAGCTACTCCTGCTTAAAACCCTCGATAGACGATCAAATTCTGAAATAATTCCGATCAAAGTAGACATGCTGATGGCTGATGGTCACCATCTACCATCCAATTTTGACGGGCCGCACTATTTTGTTCAAAGTAAGATCAGAATGGAGTGCCACCATTCATCATTTTCTGCCTCAGGAAACATTTCTGCCAAGTTTTCAAAGTTTTTAAAATTAAGCAAATTAATGAGTTTAAGACTGATGACTCCCGGCACTTTGATTTTAATTGGTTCGGGAATTTGATCGTCCATCGAGACCTTATGCCTTTGCCTTTGTACCATCAAATCCATCAGAAAATTCTGGTACTCGATGGATATCCAGGGGTTAAGATTTAAGAGCCACCGTCGCATAGTGGAGCTAGTCAATGATAGAGATCAGACATAAAGCGGAAACTTTAATATCGTCAGTTTATCAAACGTCTCTTTCAGTAATATGGCGTGCTTTGCTATTTATCGATTGATTTTTCATTTGAACATGCCAAAAATAATTGACTATTAGGGTGTGCATAACGAACACCTTAATAATCGATTCTATCATAGCTTCAAATGGGGACGTATATCGATAATCGATCATTTACTCCTCGCCACGGGTCTCTTTGTTTATGTCTCTGCCTCTTATCGAATTATGAATCCTTTCTTACATTGCAAGGTTATGCAAGTACATAACGACAAATATTCAGACGCACCAATGGAAACTTTGAGTAAGCAGAAAGAGGACAAAGATCGATGTTTTAAATGTCAAATTTTGGCAATTTAGTCAGTTCCTAAGATTTGTGATTTTTTCATTAATATTGGTTGCATTATGTTTATAAATTAAAACAAAAAATTGCAATGTAAAATTATTGAGTGTGTGAAGGAGGGAAAAAAATCAGCTGTACTTCTGTTACACCGCGGTGAGTAGAATTGTCTTGTTCGGACATAGGCACCTATGCTGAATTAGCTGCCGAGGAATAATGCGGTATGATCGTTCAGAATTCGCCATATTTCTTCGAATACAATAGATTTGCTGACAAACTTATGAATTTTTTTCTTGGAAATTTTTAGAGACTTTTCCTCGAAACTCAATCCATCATGATTTAAACTTTCAGGAAAGCGTACTTGCGTCGCAGGCAATCAGCAATCGCCGGCAATTTGCAAGCTCCGTGCTCGTCAATTCGTCAAATCGCAATTACAATGACATCGATATATTAAAGGTTTCTTTAGCGAAGGAATCCAAGGCACGACCTCAGTTTGGAACGCCTTCAAATCCAGTGATACTCTCCGCTTTGCCGCGGAGTTAGTTTAGTTGCTTAACCAAACCAAACCCAACGCAGATTATTGATTACATTTCACGAACATAAGTGTGCTAGCCGGTGCCATGCATTCAAGAAGAAGAGGATAACGTACGTTTGAATTCAAAGCATAATAATCACTATTTTCTATCTCGTTTTTACTTTTTTCACTTTAAATTTTTTTAATTTATTAATTCAAGAAGAATAGATCGCAATTTGCCGGCGATTGCTAAATGCCTGCGACTTTTATAAATTTCTCTAAAATCATTCTGGAGCAATTTGGCAACATATTCGAATGCTTTCACAGTATTATTTCTTAGCACGGCAGTATATTATTCATCGAAGTCACTGTGTCACTCGAATTAGCGGACCCAGTTGAGCGTATTTATACTAAAAGAAACTGTGCACACATGTCTGACTTCAAAAGAAACGATGAGGCATGCAAATTCTATATATATAGTTCATTTTCATCTTATTTCATTTGTATATAGTTCCTTTATGCACTAACAGTTCAATTATACTTATGGGAAAACTGCGACCCGGATTATAAATTCATGGTCAGTCACGACGATATACACATTTAAAGCATTACAGTAAGAAATGAGTGGAATTCATAGGCCCGAATTATTGTGCTAAGAACGCATAAAACTTTCTCAGTATTTTCCAACGACTGAGTTCAATACGATTTGTTTTGAAATGATCTGAACCTGTAATAGCAGCATTTTGCGCATGCTACTTATTTCATATTCATGTGCGACACGCACTGAGAAAAAAAACACATTGAATCTAGAGTCCAGACTCTTGAAAACATTGACAAGAAGAAGGACTCTTGATTCAATCAGATTTAAGCTTAAATCAAAAGGAAATCCGCTCAAATTAAGAGGCTTGATTCTTGATTTAAGCTTAAATCTGATTGAATAAAGAGTATTTTTTCTTGTCGATGTTTTTAAGAGTCTAGACTCTGGATCCAATGTGTTTTTTTTTTCCAGTACGATGAAGGAATTAGAACTGGAAAAACGGTGTTGTTAAGTTTTATTTTAAGGAAATTTTGGATGTCATTTTTTTCAGTTTAAATGAGCTGTAAAAATATGTTAGAAAGCTGAACTAAGAGTAAAATATTGTAATGTTTTGGTTAAAAAGAAATAAAAAAAATAAATAAATAAAAACTGCTCTTGTTACACTTATTAAGGATCACATCAGTGGAGCTGATTTTCATTCACAGCATGCCAGTCTTAGTATTTCATAAATGTAAAATAAAGATTTACCTATGATTTTTTTTTTACGTAACAAAGAATGGGATCAGCCCATTGTATGTTAAAAAATTAAAATTTCTGAAAAAAAAAACAATATATCTGTCAATCAAATTTCAACTATTTTTTAATAATTTTATTTTTCATTGAGCGCCGTGTAACGTCCAATCACACTGCTCTACTGTGACTGTAAGACTAAGATTGTCAGAGTGCCTGCGTGTTTTTATTTACGCAACCTAGACATCATATTCGTTACAATAGTTATCTGTTTTGGCCTCCTCACAGATTCTGCGTTACACGCGTTCACAAAAAATTCAGCCACATCTATCCGAATAACTAAATGACTTCATTTGAAAATGTCTGATTTTTTTTGGTTGAGGGTGAGACTGGTGGAATGGCAATTCTGAAAACAAGGACCCTACACTGATAAGGAAGAACGCCGTATGAACCTTCATGCGTTGCCAAATTTCTCCTGGCAAAGCACACATTTTCAGGAACATTGTTGAATATTTGCCTACTAATTTCTCAGATAATATTTGTTTGTAATTTTATCTAAAACTTCTGAAAATTTCAAGGCAAAATATTCATAATTTTTCTAGAAAATAAACATTTTATCGAAGGAAATTTGGCAACTCTCGAATGTTCATGTGGCGTTCTTCCTTAGCTCGGCAGTGTGATCCTAGTATTGCAAGCTGTCGGTGTGCTCTGTTCGGAAATTGTGTAAACCGGGGTATGTTCGACACCAAGAAAATACGATTTTCAACGACTTGAGCGCTCACCGTGGTATACGCGCAATGCATGAAGTATCCTGCAGACTTGTAAGGCGCTATACTATCCGCCGTGCGCACCTTGCTGTACTCGCAACGCATGAGGTATCCTGCGCTCTCGGAAGGCGCCATTATGCGTTTTGCGCCGTGCGCGCCAGCCGGCAGCCATAAATGAGTTCTATCACTATCCTGAGGAACAAGTCAAAGACCGATTGAAAAAGGAACAAGTTAGTAATCTGTCGCCTTAAATTGTATGGCTTTAAAAAGCCTTATAAAGCCTGAGATGGCAGAGTCAATCAGATTTGGATCTTTTATTGCCCACATTCTCCCTATTCCTAAGGTAGGCACTATAGTTTATCAGTGTGCGTCACAGTTAAAATGTCGTTGGAAAGAACCAAGGTTTGCACTATGCTGAAAAAAATACTTGTCTTCTGATGATACTTGTCTCGAAAACTGCCCAACTTACATATAGCAAAAATGAAAATTCTATTTAAAGTCAGAAAATTGGTTTAGCAACCTTCTTTAATTATTACGAAGTAAAAATTCATTTCAGTATGGATTCAAGAGTATCTATATTCATTTAGCCACGAAGCACAATTTTGTTCATGCAGCCAAAGATGAAAGGTTTTATACGTCCAAATGGACTGCATTTTGCAATTTGGAACTATAAATTTTGGCTCCTCTGGAAAAACACTTATGTGCAAAAGGAAACTAATGGCACGTACGTTGTTTTTGAACCGGGCCAGAATTTATAGTTCCTAATTGCAAAATGTAGTCCAAATGATACTACCGATAAACATGTAAGGCGAATGCAACAAATTGTGTTGCTCGGCGCAAAATTATTACAGCAAGCCTCTGCACGGAAAAAGAAACTTCGACGATATCACCCGAATTTCAGACGTATGTGATCTAAAACCTTAAGGCGGTATGGATCTCTAAAGTTTCCTTTCATCTTTGATTCTTTGATACTGATCCTGCAAAACAAGTCGCACTCAAAGACATAAAGACGGAGTGCTCGTATCTAAAAGCACGGGGAAGAAGTGAAGCCATTTTGGCGATGTGAATCCATGCGCGGGAAACGATTTGACTTGAACTTGTCCTTTTGATTTTTCCACATTTCTTCTTTTAATATCGTTTTATTTGCCTGAAACGAACAAATAAATAAAGTTGGGATTTTGAATTTTTATAATAAACCTGTTTTGGCTTGGTAACAAGGAGGAATCTTGCAGGAATCTCAGATAAAGTTAGTTTTTCTGCTGCTCTAACCAAAAGGAGAGATGGCTTCATTTTCTTCTTCTAGAGCTCCGTCTATATGTCTTTGGTTGCACCACCAGTGGATTTGATAAGTAAAAATGATATTAGAGCTACTTACTATCATACGAGATTTTGCGGGCATTAATTAAAACATGGATCTAAATTAGATTCGCAGAAATTATCAGAAAATTCAAAAACATTATTACCGTCGAGAAATTTAATATTTCAAATGATTGAGGTATTGAACAACGCCAATATTTACATTTGAATTAGGGATGAAAGAAGATAATCAACATGCTTTGAAAACAACATTTACTGTGGTAGAAAATTGTCAACGCCTTATTAATCTTGTTCGAATGGTGCTTTTCTTACTATGTTCAGTTATTTTTCAGTTGCTTTGGAAAATGAAACAGAACCAAACTGCCCGAAAGTTTGAGTTAATTTTATCATAGTTTGTGTTTATATCATCACACAAAACGATGACATACATAGGGGTTCAGGGTCGGACTGGCTCGCATCTGAAGGCGTAGACCTTTGGCAGG